TATAAATACTAATACCTGATAAATACTAATTCTTTAAACAGAAAAGGGCATCAAATTTTATGTCAAGCTGGGTGCAGTGGCTATAATCCAGTGTCTGTAATTCCAGTGGCTCAGGAGGCTGAGGCAGGAGGATTCTGAGTTCAAAGCCAGCCTCAGTAATAGCAAGGCACTAAGCAACTCAGTGAGACCCTGTCTCTAAATAAAATACAAAAAAAAAAAAAAAAAGGCTGCAAATGTGGTTCAGTGGTGAGTGCCGCTGAGTTCAATCCCTGGTACCAAAAAAAAAAAAAAATTATGTCAAACAAACCTGAGTTTGAATAATTCTGCTCCATACAACATTTTTCTTGGAGGGTGCTTGCATAGGTTAAGTAAGATGATTTGTATATGATATAGCAATTGGCAGAAGTGAAGTGTTTAGTAAACTTCATTATTACTGCCATTACTGTTATTTCTCAGGCCTAAAACTCCCTCTCTTATACCCCCATCTATGGTTACCCCCATGCATAAAGGTAGGAGAAAGAAAAGCAATCGACAAAGGGATAGTAAAATTTCAGTGTAGTTTGTGCTCCCTGTGGTGATAGCATCCCTCTGGCTTTGGAGTCTCCTTCTGCAGGGTTTCTTCTTTACATTCGCCATGACAGAGCTGGGCTCTGGCCAAGACCCCAGCTTTCTCCCTGCAGACCTACTTACTGTGATCACATCCTAATGCTGTTGTTTCAACCTCTCTTCAATTTGAGCCTGTGTTTGGTGTCCTCTGCAGTCTATGTCTCCCCCAAAACACTCTTCTTTTCCTCTGAGTAGCTAGAATCAAAGTTTTAGAAATCACCTCGTCTAGCCCCTCAAAAATTTTAATTTCAAAATTAAAGCAGTTATTTAAAAAAAAAATATTGGGCTGGGGATGTAGCTCAGTGGTACAGCACTTGCCTAGCATGTGAGAGGCCCTGGGCTTGATCTCAAGCACTATAAATACATACATAAATAAATAAATATGCATAACTAAATTGAGTAAAGTGGGACTTTCCCCAACCAATCTACACAAATTCATCAGTCATCATGTCAGTATGTGCATTGTGCAAAAACATTTGAGTTTTCTCTGCATTGTGGGTCTGTGATGTTACTTATTTCTATTTCATAAGCCTTGACTGCTATTAAGTCTCCCAACTCTCTAGAGATCCACAATCTAAGTATGGATCACTATTGATTAATGGGAAACAGAACACTGATAGCAATCACAAACTCTCACACCTCTGTCCACACTAACATCCCTCTGAGGCCCACAGTATAAACATAGTAAATATGGTAAATGCAAAAACAGCTTACAGTAAATATAGCAAATAAGAGAGATGAAAGGAGATTCCAAGGAGACAGCCCTGGTGCTTGTACACAGCAAGGGGAGAACAAAGAGAACTGGGAGCCTTGGAGGTGGCAGGCAGGGAAGCAGGCGAGACAGACGATGAAATGAGTCAGAGAGTGAATGAGGGCACTGGGTCGCCTCAACTGTGGCTTAGCTGCCCCCAGAGAGTGGTATGAACTGGAGGAAGGGACTGGGGGGTGATGAGAACTGGAGATGATGCCATAACTCAAAATGTGGGGCCAGGAGTGAGTTGAAGATGGGAAGCAAAAGCTTGGCTAATTTCTAGGCGGGACCCTTGCTCTGATTTCGGAGGTCTCTGAGATCTCTTCTGCTTGGCTCTGCTCCCTGCCTTGGCAGGGTTATGGCAAGGCAGCTGGGATGGCAGGGTAAGGAAGGAGTTAAGCAGACAACAAAGATGTCAGTGCTTGAGATCACTGGACCCCTGCTTGGCAGCCAGAAGCCACCCTGTGGCTGCTAATGCCCTCCATTTATTTGGTGCTTGATCTCATTTAATCTTCAGCACAACCATCTCCACTGCACTCCCTTAGGAACCCTCAAAGTGTTTCCACCATCCCAGAAACATACCATGCTGGACCAGCTGGTGCCTTAGGGGCTGCCACCAGGGAGGCTGGGCCCATTCTGGGCTTGCTCCCTACTGATTTTCCTGGACTGGATGTGACAAGAAGTCACAGGATGTGGAATCATTCTCCTCCTGGAATTTCCCCTTGCTTAGATCTGAAAGCCAGCACATAATGACCATTTCACCCACTCCCCAGGGAGCTATGTCAGCCTTCTCCTCCTCATTAGGCAAATGAAAATTCAAGGCCTAGAGAGGCAGAGTCCTTTGCCCTGAGTCACACCATGAACAAACAAGGAGGAATCTGACTGGAGCAAGTGCAGATTTGGGGGCATCAGAAAACCTGGGTTCCACTACTGGCTTTGCCACCAACAGCCAAGGTCACTGACCAGGCTCCATTTCCACAGCCTTGCTTTTCATAACTGTCAAGTGGAAACAGCAACACCCATCTCTTGTGCTTGTTAGGAGGATTAAATGAGATTAAGATGGCAAAGTGTTATGTAAAAACAAATTACTGATTGTCAAGGAGCACAGGTAACCTGATGACCTTGGAACAATGGAAAGTTCTGGACCAAGTATGAAAATTCTGGGCTCTGCTCAGTTCACCTGTGTGGCCCTGGGCAAGTTCCAGGCCTCAAGTTTCTCAAGGCCCCCACCAGCTATAAAACTGTGGTGTTACATGAGCTATATCTCTAGTGAAAGAATTCCAGCACTGGCCACCCTGATAGCATGCTCTCTCTTTCTGTTTCTTTTTTTTTTTCCCTCTTTCTCTCTGTCTCTCTCTTTCTCCCACTCCCCCTTCCCCTTCATCCCCTCTGTTTCCTAAGACAAGGCTGACCATTAATTACCAGGCTCAAGCAATCCTCCTGCCTCAGCCTTTCAAATAGTTGGGACTACAGGTATATGCCATCCTGCCCAGCTACACCCTGATCTCTCTTTTATCTGTAGCTCATGTTGCCTTAGATCCAAGAATTTTATTGAGGGAAGGGAGTCAGTTCTATGTAATAAGAACCTTTGCTCTATCCCTTCTACCTACTTCCTCAGGCAACTTGAGTGTCTGCACTCTCCTCCCTTCTTAGTCTTTGTTTCTCCCATTGCCTCCCAATTTTGATGGGGTGGGAGATTTCTTTTGTAGTGTAACAAATAACAAACGTTATTTGTTATGGCTCAGCACTAGCGCACTTGCCTGGCATGTGTGAGGCACTGGGTTCGATTCTCAGCACCACATATAAATACATAAAATAAGGACTGGGTATATAGCTCAGTTGGTAGAGTGCTTGCCTTGCATGCACAAGGCCCTGGGTTCTATCCCCAACACCAAAAATAAAAAATAAAATAAAAATAAATAAATGAAATAAAAGGTCTATCAACAACTAAAAAAAAAAAAAAAAAAAAAAGGACCAGGTAAGATTTCCCAGTTGAAAACACCAACTTGCCTAGATTCCCTCCCTGTTAGGGAGGACTTGGCTAACTGCCCCAACTTAATATCCTTAATATCCTATCCAGGATAGCCCAAAGGGTGCAAAGGCTCTGATCCTTCTTCTGAGGAAGCAGCTCAGCATAACCCTGGCTGAGCTCTCAGAGGTGAATTAAATATTAAACACATAAGGCCAGAGCCCCTCGAGCAGCAGCACATTTCCAGCACACAGACAATGCCTATAGCTTGGCTATCATTCTTCCAGTGGCTGTGGGCTGGCCTTTCCTGCTCCCAGCCCACACTCCTAAGAAGGAAGAAGAAATGGCAATGTTTTGCTCTTCTCAGCAAGCTCAATGTTCCCTGTGTCCTTCCTCCAACCCCCAGTACTGAAAGCTTCAAGGAGCTAGAGATGCCTAGAACACTGAGTTGCGGCATCTGCAGCATTGAAATTTAACAGGTTTGTGACTGGCTAGGCAGGGGCCTCATAGCTCAGCCTCACTTAGGAGCTGGAGGCTCCCATGGGAAGGGAACAGCTCAGGAAGGACACTGAGGTCCTGATATCTCTCAGGGCAATGGGAAATTGGAGACTACTAAGATGAAGCCTGGGTGTGCAGGCTATTTGGTTTTTTTCCTTAGATTAATACAGGTCACAGAATTGTCAGATTGGTAGAACCTCAGAGATCACCAGGCTAATGTTATATTTTACAAAAAAAAAAGAGAAACTGAGGCATGAAGAAAGGGGAAAACAATGTACACAAGGTTATTCAATGGGCTGGAGAAGAGCTAGGCCTAGACTCTAAGGCTCTGGTATACAGCCCACCATACATCCTGCTTGATTCCCTGAATCTTCTTCTTAATGACACCAAACAAGGGGCCTGGCACTAAATGGACCTAGCACTGCATGGCCTAATGGACAATTTTCATAGGGAACAGAATCCACTCAGGTTCCTGCCTTGACATTGAAGAAATAAAAAGCATAAGGTCCATGGGTTCCAGCTCAGTTTTGCCACTTTGTAGGATAAAATCTTGGTCCTTTCACTTCTCTGAGCCTGAGTTCCTCATCTAGAAAATGGGGATTTAAAGGTTAGGGGTGTAACTCAATAGTAGAGCATTTGTCTAGCATGTGCAAGGCCCTAGGTTTGGTCCTCAGCACCATTAAAAAAAAGGGAGGAGGGCTGGCTAGTATTAAGGATCAAGTAAGATCATGTGTGAGGCATTTTGTAAACTGTGAATTACTATCTGAATGGTAGAGATAATATGATGTGAGAGGTCTGAAGATGCTGCAGAGGGGAAAAGCATGGTGTGGGAGAGGCTGTGCAGGAGCAAAAAACCACACTCCCATGGGGTGGGGCCCTGTATGGCCATCCACAGACCTGACTGATCCTGGAGCCACCAGAAGAGACTAACACTCACAGGTCAAACTGCCCCAAGTTCACTGTCTTGACAACCCCAGCCACTTTGCTTCGTGTGCATGCATGTGCCCAACTGTCAATTGCAGCGATTTGCCTGGCTGCTCCGGGGCAGTGGGTGGGGCATGGTGCTGAGGAAGGATACCCCACTTTGGGCCAGCTCACAGACCCTCAGAGAAGAGCTGGGCAGCCAAGACCCTTGCAGGGACTTCTCTCATGCTGGGGCTCCTCTGGGGCCCTTACCTTGTACTTGGCTGCAAGCAGCTCTGTGGCCTGCTGCTCCCGCCGCAGGTCCTCCAGCATCTTCTCCTTCTCCTCCAGCAGCTTCTGCTTCTCCTCACTCACCAGGCTGCGGTCATCCTGAATGGCCGCCTTCTCTTCCTCCAGCCGTTCCTTCTGTTCCTGAAGGTAATTCTCCATGTTCTTCTCCAAGGCTGACTCCAGGATGGGCTGGGGCGGGCGGTGGTTGTTGTTGTTGTCATCCTCCTCTTCAGCCACCCAGGCCTCAATCACTGGCCCTTCAGGGTACCCAGCTGGGGCCGATACAGCCTTCTTCCTGCGGCTACTCTTCCTCCGGGGCCTCTTCCCCAGCATCCCCCTCTTCTCCAGCTGGGCCTTCAGGCGGGCAATCTCCTCCTGGAATTCCCGCAGCAGCGTGTCCTTGGGATCCTCATTCACCCGAGGCTTGTTCTTGATGTTCTTGGCTCGATTGGCAAAGCGAAGGGTGGAGAGGCTCTCATCATAGCTGTGAGAAGCTGGCCCCAGTGTGGCCACCATGATGGTCTTGGCATTCCCGCCCAGAGAGTCCTGGAGCAGCCGGGTCAGCTTAGAGTCCCGGTAGGGGATATGGGTGCTCCTGTTACCGGCCAGAGCAGCAATCACATTACCCAGGGCAGACAGAGAGAGGTTGATTTTGGAGGCTTCCTTAGGTCTCTCTCCACCGCTGCCACCACCACCTCCATTGCCACCGCCACCACCACCCGTAGACTGTGTGGCTGTCCCTCCAGCGGTGTTAGGGCCTGCCTTGTTCTGCCTCTCACTGCCAGCCAGGTCCACCAGATTGAGCTTCCCCACACGGATGTGGTCCTGGCCATCAGAGCCACGCTCACTGCACTCCACAGTGATCACGAAGATTGCGTGGGAGCGGGAGCTGACCTCATTCATGTGGGTGCTGCCCACCGCACGAGTCTGGTTCCCCAGGTTCATCACATGTTCGATCTCTTTGACATTCTTGGTGACAAAGGAAGAAAGGTCCTTGATGTAGACCCCTGTCTCAGGATTTTCCTTCAGCTCTAGCCTCTTGCCTGGCTCCTTGGAGAGAAGGTCTCGAATCTCCTCCTGGTAGATCTCCAAGTAAGAGGCTCGGACTAGGTACTGCTGGTTCTGGGAGCGGGAGATGTGGGTGAAGATGTGTTCAAAGGCGTTGGGGATGACCCCGCGCAGCTCAGGCTCCACCCAGGTTCCCTGCATCGTGTAGGTCTTGCCAGTGCCCGTCTGGCCATAGGCAAACACTGTGCCATTGAAACCCTGAAGCACTGAGTCTATCAGGGGCCTCACGGTTTCATCATACAGGTCTGCCTGCTTGGAGCTGGCATCGTACACGGCGTCAAAAGTGAAGGTCTTGGGCAGCTCTCCAGGGGCTGCACGGGGGTTCCGCAGGGTCACCTGGCCCAGTTTCACGTCCATGGTCAGGATCTGCTCGTGACCAGCTGCCTCCTCCTTCCTGCTGAGGGGGCGGCACCGGGCCACCACCTTCAGGGCCTCACTGGTCTTGGTCTTACTGGCCATCTTGCTGCTCTGTCCTTTCCTCTGCTCCCCTCGGCAGCCTTGGCGGTCCTGCTGTCCTGTTCCTTAGGTCGGGATCGGCGGGGCCGGCCCAGCCCCCAGGCGCCGCTCTTCAATCCGCATGCAGCCTCCTAGGGTGGGGATGCTGGGAAGTGGCCCCGCCGCTGCTGCAGTCCGGGCCTCCACTGCTTTCAGATCCTCGGTGTACCGGCCGGGGAGGTAGAATTAGGCAGAATCTCCGGGCAGCCGCGGGAGCAGCGCCTGCCGAAGGGCAGTGCCGGGAGCCCGCCCCATGCTGGGGCAGAGGGAGCGCTGCTGTAAACAGCTCCGGCAACAATGAGATAAAGGAAGAGGAAAATGGGATGGGGGTGGGTGGCAGGGCTGTCTTCGCCTCCTCCTCCTCCTCCCTCTAGGGATCCATGGCGGGGGCTGCCGTGCGGGGCGGCCGGGGGTCCCGGCCCTCCCGAGGGCAGAGGCTCACCTGGAGTCCTGCCCCCCAGCTGGGGGATCATTCATTGCAGCCAGCGCGGCTGCTGCTGCCTCTGCCTCCGCCTTCCCCACCGCCGCCACCAGAGAATGAGAGAAAAACAGAAGGGGATGGGGCGGAGCAGCGGCGGCGAGAGTGATGTTGCCGCCGCCGCGCTGCGGCCCCAGCTAAGTCTCCCGGCTGGGGTGGGGCAAGGGGCGGGGCCGTGGGGCGGGGGCCGCAAGCTGGGCGCGGCCCGTAGGCGGGGGACCCGGGTGCATTGCCGCCTGCACCCCGCCGACCCCTCCCGGATGACAAGCTCGGGTGCCGATCCAGGTCCTGAGCCCACCAGTCGGATGCAGCGCAGCCACCGCCCGCCGTCACCCCACCGAGCTCGAGCATGCTGGGAGATGTAGTCCTGCCTTTGTTAACCGGGTTCTGGCAGGTTGCTAATGTCTTCTCCAGTCCTCCAGTCCCGGAGCCCCTCCCTTTGCCGCGTGAAAACCTCGAGTGACTGCTGAGGTTGCACCATCCACGCTTGTTCCCTCCGCAGGTACCTCCCTGCGTCTCCCGCTGCTCCTGCCTTTCTGTCCGCAGATGGGTACATGCCACCAGTTTCCCTTCTGGGTGTCGCCAGGCCTCAAGGAGCCTAACTCCTAAATGTTTCTGGAAGTTATCCTTTCCGCTCTCTAACCTGGTTTACTTCTGGCCTTCCTTTTATCTCTGCTGGAACCGATGATTCCTCACCTCAGGTCCACGAAGGCACCCTAGCTCCTTCTGCAACTCCTCCAACTCTTTCCACATGCTACAAGAGCCTATCCCTCTTCTGACCTCCCAGCCTCATCTCCAATACTCTCCTCTGGAGTATCTGCCTCCAAACATTTTATCTAGCACTTGCTGAGCACCGGCCCATTGGAGGAGCTGCGTTATTCTCATCCTCAAGGAGCACAGATTCTAGGAACCATGTTTTGTTTCCTTAACTGGCTCTTTGTTGCACCCTTGTACCTTTACCCAGAGATCCAATCACTCTTCTGCACGTGGTTCCGTGCCACTTGGGCAGAAGGAGTACTTCCTCCTTCATGAAGCCTTCCCTAACCAGTTCCCCCCTCCCCTGAAAGAGAGAATTTGCATAAAGCAAAACCTGATTCCAGTTCCAATCTGATCTCCATCCAACAGTGTGCCTTTGAGCAATTACTTACTTTGCTCAAAGTTTCCTCATCTGCTCAAAAGAATTGGAGATGGAGAGAAATAATATCTGTATCCCAGAGTGGATGGAATACTCAAATGAAACAATGGATCATGAGGTATCTTACCAATGAGAAACCCTTAATATGGGTACATGGTCTGGCTTCAATTGTCTGACAGTATCTTCTTCCTTGAGTCTCCTAGATAGACCAAGTGGGTGCTTGGTGTTCCTCTTTGAGGTCTTCATATTTTATGCCTCTAGAATACAAAGGAAGTGTAATTAGTGTAGTTCCACAAGTCCACGGATCAATGTTCCACTCTGCAAGGGGAGGTGAATCATGGACTGAGCTGTCCTTATTTTTCTCCATATGAGATTCAGATGAAGGATAGGCTATTACCTGAAACTTCAAAGTCCTTCTTCCATTTGCAATAATGCTATTCTGTAGATGCCAAATTGTTGAGTTCTTCAAATCTGAAGAACTTATCTCCTGACTTCTTCCCCATTTCAAAGTCTCTAGGACTTGAATGTCAACTAGGATAGAGGCTTGGTTTGCACACTTCTGAAGTTTCTGGGCCTTCCTCTCCCTTCTCATGATTAAGCTCCACTGCTTGTGATGATCTTGGCTTTGGGGTCAATTACTGGGTGAGATTTTGACCTTATAAACTAACATCTCTTGGCTCAAGCAACAGACTTTTGGATGCACCATTTGTTTCTTAAACTATATTCTTGTTTAACTTGGCTTTGGTTTTTTTTTTTAATTTTTTTTTAATATTTATTTTTTAGTTTTCGGACGGCACAACATCTTTGTTTGTATGTAGTGCTGAGGATCGAACCCGGGCTACACGCATGCCAGGCGAGCGCGCTACCCCTTGAGCCACATCCCCAGCCCCTTGGCTTTGGTTTTTGAACACCCTTTCTCTATTTTGGCTAACACATCTGCCACTAAAGTGCTGGATAAAATGGATCTTTACCCTGTTCTCACCACCTGATGTTACCACCTGGCAAGGCACCAACCCAGATCCTTCTGTATGGAAGATTGAAACGCCTTTGCTTACAAGATGTGTGACCCCCCAGGAAATTATTTAACTTCTCTGAACAATTATTTTCTCAGTGGGATAAGTAAAGATAAGAATGCTTACCTTACTCACAGGGCTTACATAAAATTAAGTCAGATAACATATGTAAAAACTTGAAGGCTATAAAAAGAACTCAAGAAATCATAGTTTTCTTTCCGTTTGTCCTTTGCATTCAAAGCTATTCATGTTATGAGTTTCCCTTTCAGTACTGGTTTCAACCATTCTTCCTCCCTCTTATATTCTTGAGTCTCTAGCCACTCTGACTTGCTTGAGGTCCCCTAAACATTCCATGGTTGGGTTTGTTTGTTTGTTTGTTTGTTGTGTTTTTTTTTTTTTTAGTAAAATGGATCCTCACCCTGTTCTCACCACCTGATGTTACCACCTGGCAAGGCACCAGCCATATCCTTCTATATGGAAGATTGAAACCAGTCCAGACTTCCCTTCTGAGTTCCAGACCTATCTACCCATTTCTCTAATGGATAAAGCCACTTGATTGGTTCTCCAAGAGCTTGAAATTCTATTGTTGACATTGAATTCATCATTTTTCCCTCTAAACTAGCTCCTCTAAATATGGTCGTTAGCCCTATAAACAGCACATCCCTCACCCCTAATGTATCCATTCAAACCCCAAATACTGTCAACTCAACTTCCTAAGTATTTCTCAAATCCATCGACTTCTTCTCCAACTTCCATAGCCATTATCATGGCCAACCCATCATCTTCTCTGGTCTGGTCTCCCACATTATCTTCCAATCTGGTCTCCCTTGATCCCTACTCATCTATTCTCTACAAATTAATCTTTTATAGACATATGTCTGATCATGTCACTCTAGGTGGAAAACCTTCCAAAGCTTTTCATTGCTTTTTTTTTTTTTTTGGTATTGGGAATTGAACTCAGGGGTGCCACATCCCTAGCACTATTTATTTATTTATTTATTTATATTTTTTTATTTATAGATGGACACAATATCTTTATTTATTTATTTTTATATGGTGCTGAGGATCGAATCCAGTGCCTCACACATATGAGGCAAGCACTCAACCATATAGCCCCAGCCCTCCTAGCCCTTTATTTTGAGGCAGGGTATAGCTAATTGCTTATGGCCTCACTCAGTTGCTGAGACTGGTCTTGAACTTTCCATCCTCTTGCTTCAGCCTCCTGAGTCACTGGGATTACAGGCATGAGCCACCATGCCTGTCCTCATAGCTCTTAAGGTAAGGTCCAAATCATTAATGCAGCCCGCAGCGCCACCTACTTACTGCCACAAGGCTTTCATATGCTCTGTTTCTGCTACTGGGATACTTATCTTCACCATCTGTATTCAAATTCCTCCTCTTCGTGCTTCAGGTCTCCACCTGAATGTCACTTTCTAAAGGAATTCTTGTTCTCATCCTTCCCTGTTCTTTCCTTCGAAGAACTAAGCATAATTATCATTAATTACTTGTCCACCTCCCTGTTGCTCAATGAAAACAATAAAGATGTAGCATGTCTGTTTTGTTTTTTGGTACCAGGGATTGAACCCGAGCACTTAACCACTGAGCCACATCCCCACCCCCTTTTTTTTACATTTTATTTAGATACAGGATCTCGCTAATTTCTTCAGAGCCTGGCTAAATTGCTGAGAATAGCTTTGAACTTGCAATCCTCCTGCCTCAGCCTCCCAAGTTTCTGGGATTACAGATGTGCACCACCACACCTGGCTCAATGAGTATTTAAAAAAAAAAAAAGTTGTAGATGGACACAATATCTTTATTTTAATTATTTATTTTTTATGTGGTGCTGAGAATTGAACACAGTGCCTCATACATTTAAGGCAAGTGCTCAACAACTGAGCCACAACCCCAGTCCTCAATGAGTATTTTTAAAATAAATTAAAGCCTTGTATGACCATCACTCTTCTGAGAGATTCCTTTGACACTCCTGACTCTACCATCAGAATTAATCTTTCCTCACCTTATGATTCTATAGCTTTGCCTTTTTTTCCAGTGCTAGAGACCAAACCCAGGTCTTCTAACTAGTATTATAGTCACTATAGTTAGACCTATACTGTGGTTAACTGATTCTGTCTCCATCACCATAATGTATGCCCTCTGCAGACAGGGGCTGTGAATTTGGTATTTGTGTCTTCTTTCCCCATACCCAACATGTAGCTACACACTGTTCATGATTGTATATACTTTAGGTAATCAATATTGGGTATTAAACAAGCGAATGGATGGTCAAAGAAATCTGGAGCAAGAAAATGATGAAATGAGACCAAACAGTGACAATAATAGGCCCTTAAGTGCACAGAATGATCTGTAGTTCATAAAGTATCATTGTTTTTATTATCTACTTGGCCCTCATATTAATCTCCAAAAAAGGGAAAATATGAATATCTCTTCAGATTGATGAAGTGACTAGGGAAGAAAACCCAGCTATTAGGACTCCAACCTGGTAGTCTTTCTATGGGGTAAACTCACTGAGGGGGCAAGTTCCAGTTCAGTTGCTTCTTAGTCCTGGTTTGACTGGTAGCTTCCTGGGGCACAGGCCCATCCTTGACTCAGTGGGAGGAGGAAGAACCTTTGCTTCATTTTCTTTGATAACAAATTTCTTTTTCCTCCAATGGGATTCCCATACCAGCATCTCTTGGTCCCCGTGACAGCCAGAGTATGACTATACAATTCTACCAGGAAGACAGAATTTTTTTTAATTTTTTTTTTTTTTTTTTGAGAGAGAGAGAGAGAATTTCAATATCTATTTTCTAGTTATCGGCGGATACAACATCTTTGTTGGTATGTGGTGCTGGGGATTGAACCCGGGCTGCACACATGCCAGGCGGGCGCACTACCGCTTGAGCCACATCCCCAGCCCAGGAAGACAGAAGTCACTCTTTAATAATCCTGGGGCCCACAAATTGATGTTCAAATGCAATTAATAATTTAGGATTTGGATTT